AAAAAAAAAAAAACATGATTGGGGAACCAGTAATGTCCAACACCATGACTAGTAGAAAGAGAGCCCTGTTTGTAGGCCCATGCTGTGGGACTCACTTTCTATTAAGGTCTGGTGTTGGGCACCAGTGAAGCCCCTAAAATTGTTCGTTTTCTTTTGTGGGGTAAATTGCTTCAATACATTTTTTTTCCTCTTTCTTTTGTTCAAACATATCAGGGTGGCATTGATGATGGGGGTGCAGCAACCGTTAGAGCCTTGATGCGTTGGCAGTATAGGACCATTAGCTGGGAAAAAACATCAATATTGCATAACCTTAGTGTTTTGCTTGGTACTAAAACACATGATTACATCTCTTTCTATGGTCTAAGATCATACGGTAGACTTTTTGAAGGCGGCCCTGTGGCTACAAGTCAGGTAATAATCTCGCATTACATGTAGCTAAACTTTTTTTCACCTTACAAAATCAAGAAAGATGTTATTTTTTTTTTCCTTGGTGTTTGGCTCTATATTATGAGTAATTGGTTAATTGATGTTATACTCTTAATTTTGTCCTAATGAGGACTTAATATGGTGTATTTTCAACGCTATGTAGGTGTATGTACACAGCAAATTGATGATTATAGATGATCGTGCTGCTTTGATTGGATCATCCAACATTAATGATAGAAGTTTGCTAGGCTCAAGAGACTCTGAGGTCTGATTTATTGTTTTTATTCTTTTTGGTATTTGGCACACCCCTAACTTTCTATGATTGACATGTTACCCTCAAACTTTTAATTTTAACAAATTATTAACTAATTTTAACAAAGTGTAGCAATGTGCCCCAAATAGATGACGGTTGTTAAAATTTAGACAGAAACGTTCTCATACACATACATGGACTCATTTGAAGGAAGAGATTAAAATTTTGGATGATGATTGTACCATGTGATGCCATGTACATGACAACGTTCTCTTCAAAATTTTAGAACAATTCATCATTTTGGGGGGCACAGTAATTTTTTATTAACTTCAAGGATAATTTGCACAATTAAAAGTTGTAAGAGCAGCTTTACAATTCAATCAAAGTTCAGAAAGCAAAGGCTCCAAAAACCCCCCCTTTTTTTTCTCGACTGATAAGCAAAGAACCCTGCTTTTTTCAGTGGCTTCACATAAATGCAATTTCCAAAGAAAAAAAAAAAGCCCCTCAAACTGCCTGAAATTACTGTTTTTTTTTTTTTTTAATCTTGGAACTTAAGAAACAGATTTGTGAAGCTTATTTGATAACTTAATTCTTAAAAGGACGAATAATAACAATAATAATAATAATAATTTGACTCCATTATGTTGGTCTCAGATTGGGGTACTAATTGAAGATAAGGAGTTTGTGGACTCATCTATGAATGGACAGCCTTGGAAGGCTGGAAAATTTGCTTATAGTCTTCGGTGCTCCTTGTGGTCCGAGCACCTTGGTCTTCATTCAGGAGAGGTTGGTGCCATTAATCACACATTAACCATTCTGTACTTTTTTACTAGTAAAAATGGGTAAAAAAACAAATCGTTGTCCCATTCAATTCAAAAAAAAAATCTATATTTATTACTCAACCAGTTACACATAACGATGAAGTGAGGTCTTAATTTCTTTCAGATAAATCAAATCAGTGATCCTGTATCAGACACAACATACAAAGATTTGTGGTTAGCAACTGCAAAGGTGAGACTGGGAAGTCTGGTAAAAAATTCTAAAGAGAATTATTTGGTAGGATATGAAAAAATAGACTGTAGATTTGGATATAGTTTTTAATCGTCAAGAAAGGCTAATGTGTCATTTTTTTTAAACTCATATGATTTTAACGTTTAAATATTCAACCTCCATATAAGAAAAGTTTCCTTGTGTAAAATCACATTAATGTACCTTTTTTTTCCCCTCTTCAGAGAAATCAATGTTCCATGTTTTTATTATGATTGTTATTGTATATTCTTCTCCGTTTGTTTCAAGGGTTTTGACTTGGTTTTGGATCATGGTTCTTGATTCGCTACAGTGTTTTTCTCTCACAAAAAAAAAATTTTTAAAATCAGAATTATGTATCATAGTTCTGAACTCAAAAACCAAATGTAACCGTACCAAACTAATGGCATTTATGTCCCCTTTAACGGGGACATAAATGCCATCAATTTAGTTGGTTTAGTTGTGCCCTCTTCTTACTCATCTCCACCACCTAACTTAAGGTGCCATTTGTGTTATGCAGGAAAA